CATGCAAGAGGTGCATGAGTTGACTCTGCTCACTGGACCCACAGGCCCAGCTTTCAGAGAGATTTAAATCAGCATTATCCATCACATGTCCGCTGCCTCCCGAGCTCGTGCTGTAGCTGCTTCATGTTTGGTGTGGCGTTTTTGGGTGAAAGTGCTCAGCGGGCATTCACTCCCCAGCATAAATGGTCAAGTGATTAGGCGCACGAAGTGAGACTTCCCAGACGTCCAAGGCCCATGTTGCCACAACGTCCCATTGCCAGGAGATTGGACCGCGTCATTGGTACAGAGCACTTTCAGGACCGCCTCATTTCGAGGAGCTTCAGGAAGTTTGGGGTATTGGAGTCCGCTCAGTAGCGCGGCTAGAACCACGTCCCGACGAGTGGATGACGATGACGTCATACGTATTCGTCCAAACCTCAGCGTTTCCGTCCCGAGGGGCGCGCCAGCGGGTGGACAAGGGCTTCAAGTGTGCCGAACCACGAAATATTTCACAATGAATTCACCTTTATTTTCACACCTTTGCATCTCTTGTGTTCCCCTCCTGTCTCGTGGCTTATTCGTCTTTGTCTCAGACTCATATTCACGGCTAAGGGCGCCTGTCCCTGTGAGGAAGGTGCTCCTCCTCCCCCTCACCCCCCGCCGCCCTTCTATCATAGAAGAACCCAAGCGACCATTCATACCACATTCACACCAGCCGCCTTTCCCTATCCCTCCACTACTCCCTCCACCTCCTCCCCATCTCCGCGAACCACTTCCTATAAAAGCCCCACCTCCACCAGCCCCAATTCGGGAACCACCTGCTCCCAAACCAGAGCCCCCTCCACGTGTTATTAAAAGCCCGCCCCCCCCTTCACCTGTGAAGCCGGTCACACCGATTCCACCCAAAGTCCTGGTGTCAGTAGGCTGCCAAACTGAGTATGACCCAATCTTCCCTACAATGCAGGCATGAACCCCCCTCTCTTACCCCTTCTTCTTATTTCCACTTTTGAACGGTTTAACCGTAGTTACCTCAAAAATATTTTAGTGATGTTCCTGTGTGTATCAGTCTTCATAATTGAACCGTTTCAGATTATGGCCCAGGGGAAGGGTGGTGTTCCTGGTGGTCCTCCGACGCAGGTCAACAAGCTGGACAACATGCTGGGCAGCCTGCAGTCGGACCTCAACAAACTGGGCGTGCAGACGGTGGCTAAAGGGGTCTGCGGAGCCTGCTGCAAGCCAATCGTGGGACAGGTAAGATGCGGTTTACATTTGGCAAATAATACATCTGTAATACAAATAAGTTATTTGTATAAACATGTTTAGAGTTTGCATAGTAGGGCTGTACAGAAGCTTCTATTAAGGTTTTGAAATAAAGCTTATAATCTGTCATCATATTTTTCAGTCTAAATGAAATGTGGGAGGATAAAGGTGTGTTCTGGTTATAAAAAGGATATATAATATAATATTGCTCCTGGACGTCCCTTTCAAATAGATGAAATAGACACCCTTTGTGTGTAGCATATGAGAGAGCAAACGGTTTTTGGACCACAGTTAAAACACAGTTTTAAAGTGGATTGAAGGTGAATATTTCATTAAAGTAACATATCTGTTGAATTTTGAAAATGACTACTTCTATATTTCCTCAATAAATTATATAAGACTTTTGGATTTAAAAACAACTTTACAAGTTAGGGACAATGTTTGGTTTACATGAGCATCCTAAACAGCCACCACTGGAATATTATTCTACAAATAATGTTATACTGAAAATATTCATGACGTCTGTAGTTATCTTGATCTGAAACTGTGCAGAAATATTGGGTTCAAAACAAAACAAAATAGACATGCAAAAAATATTTAGAATTGTCAACGGTATTGTTGGTTTCAGGTAGGGCTGCTCGACTATGGCAAAAATCATAATCATGATTATTTTGGTCAATAATTGATATCACGATTATTAAATTTGAAAACATCCATTTATTGAACTTTAAAACAAATAATAATTTGAACAGTATCTTTTTAACTGTTGATTACCCTGAACATATAATTCAACTGAAAAACCAATACTAAAATAAATAAAATAAATACTTAGGAGCGCACTTCCACAAGCTACTAAACATATATTAATATGATAAATAAAAATAAATTAGACCAAAATAACTGAGATCAAATATGTTGCAGTGCACGGTCACAACCTAGCAAAGCAACAACATTGTTTTTTTCGATTATGTTGTTTCCGTAATTGTGGCAGGCCAAAATCGTAATTGCGATTAAAATGCGATGAATTGCACAGCCCTAGTTTCAGCCCTAATTCACAATCCACTCTCCTGTTGGTGCAGGTGGTGACCGCCATGGGGCGCACATGGCACCCTGAACACTTTGTGTGCACTCACTGTCAAGAGGAGATCGGCTCCAGGAACTTCTTTGAGCGTGAAGGATTGCCGTACTGCGAGACGGATTACCACAACCTGTTCTCCCCACGCTGCCACTACTGCAACGGGCCAATCCTGGATGTGAGTCCCTGCTGTGTTCACACGTGCTCATGTCTCTTTGGAGATTACAGTCATCCAACAAAACATGTTGTCGTCTCTTTTCAGAAAGTTGTGACGGCGCTGGATAGGACATGGCATCCCGAACACTTCTTCTGCGCTCAGTGTGGATCCTTCTTTGGCCCAGAAGGTACTGGCATTTATTTTTTGGAGTTATATGTACAGTACATAAATAGTAGTACAAAGGATTAAGATGTGTTGTCTGTTTCTGTTCCTCCTTCAAAGGCTTTCATGAAAAGGACGGGAAAGCCTTTTGCAGGAAGGACTACTTTGACATGTTTGCACCAAAATGTGGCGGCTGTGCCAGAGCCATTTTGGAGAACTACATCTCAGCGCTGAACAGCCTTTGGCATCCTGAGTGTTTTGTTTGCAGGGTGTGTATCTTTTATTCCTCTCATTCTGGTGTGTTTTCATGAGTGTAGCTGGAGTGCCTCTAAAGACGTTGTACAGGAGTTTATATTATATGGATCAAAACGCTGTGGACAGAATCATTCCTATAGACACCTGTTTTGATGTTTAAACTAATACTTCATTTGTTTTCATTCATACATGACAACATGTGGGAACATTATAAGTAAATGTGATATTAGACATTGAAAGCCTACAGTTTATTTTTTAGGCCTGTTAGAAATGTCAATCTTTAAAATGTATTAGAAATACTTGGGTAATAGGAAATGTGTGAATTGTAAAACACTCAATAACATCTTATTTGTTAAAGAATTTACAGAATACCTCTCACAGTAACGTTATATAAAAAAGTATCGTGGAATCATCAAGAATCATATTTTGTTTCAGCCAGGATGCTCAGAGCAAATTTACTGTCTAATTTCTTAATCTGTAGAAACCCTGTTTCTAAAAGACGTTTCCACTGTAACAATAACAATAACAATAGTGTGTGAATAACGGCTTGCTCCTCGGCCCTCTGTTATCTTTCTCAGGAGTGCTTCACCCCGTTTGTGAACGGCAGTTTCTTCGAGCATGACGGCCAGCCGTACTGTGAAGTGCACTACCACGAGCGGCGCGGCTCGCTCTGCTCCGGCTGCCAGAAGCCCATCACGGGGCGCTGCATCACCGCCATGGCTAAGAAGTTCCACCCGGAGCACTTTGTCTGCGCCTTCTGCCTGAAGCAGCTCAACAAAGGCACCTTCAAAGAACAGAACGACAAACCCTACTGCCACGGCTGCTTTGTCAAGCTGTTCAGTTAGAGAGAGAGAGAGAGGGAGGGAGAGAGAGAGAGAGAGAGAGAGAGGGAGGGAGGGAGAGTGCGTTTATGGCTCAGGGCTGAGGTCAGCGTCTAGAGCATCTTATCTTTAGCACAGGGCGGGGTTAATTGTGTTTATATCAAAGAGGGTGGTCTGTGATCTGAGGGTGACATTGGAAGTCTGTATGGACTAGGAATGTGCATGTGGTTGAAGCAGCAGACTCTCTCTGCCAGACTTAAATACTTTCAAGACGTCCCTGTTTTCAGACTGACAGCGATGCGGCTTCAAAGCTCTTCTAGGTTTGGAGTTGGTCAGGAAGTATGAAAAAGATACACTAAGGTGACATTACATTTTTGATAAATCAACACTGAGATGCACACAACAAGATTTTCTTCTTAATCCTCTGAAATGTGTTGGATCACTTCAACAAGGAAATAGCTGCATGTGAATCCTTTTAGTTTGTATGTGGTTAGATGGTGCAACTGAGCCCTGTGGAGATGCTCTGCATGTGGGACCTTGTTGCTCACTGGTTGAGCGTGTCATTTTAGAAACAGCAGAGGTATATCAATTGAGAAAAACCGCAGCTGTTTATTAACATAACAATTAAACTACAAAGGAGGGTAGAAGGCTTTCCCCCCCATCGTGTTGTGACAGAGCAGGAGGATAAATCCTTGAGTCCATATACTGGAAATGCTTCTTCAGCCTTTACAATAATGTTGTATGCGTGAAATGGATTCTAGGGTTTATACCATTTTACAGACTCAAGAAACACGTGTATACATTTTCTTCACATGGATACCAGAGCTGCAACAGTAAGAGTTTTCACTATTTTCTTAAACTTTATAGACTGAAGATTAATCATTATTACATTAATCTGAAGACTCATCCATATAAAATAATCATTATTTTACAAAGTTTGAACTTTATAAATACTTTGAATACAGTTTTTTAATTCAGAGTGTCCAATACACCCTTTATTCAAAGATAATCATGTCTGGTTGAATATTGTTTTGATATCATCAATTATGAAACTCAGAATGTACCATCCCCCAGTAGCTGCAGTATTCCCTGAGTTACGTATGTTTGAGCCAACCTCTCGTTTTTGTGCTGCCAAATCATTCCTTGTATTTTCACAGAAGAAAAGAGAAAATAATCTGAAAACAGATTCTTGCCTTTGTCTCTTTGCAGTGAAGTGGAATCACACAAAGGTATCGGGAGTGTACGGTGCATCTATAACACTCACGTTATTCTTTCTTGGTACATCCTGAGGAGTTCTTGTGTAAATATCAAATGCAGCTACATTTTGCAGTACTGGCATGCTTAGCATGTGTTAACCACTCATTCAGAGGGAGAGGGCTGAAGGCAGAGATACTTTGATATTGTTGGTGTCATTACTGTATTGAGAAGCTGATGAATGTTCACTTTGAAGAAGTGCAAAATACGAGAGGATTTGTCTGTGATATTCCAATGACTATGAATCAGCTTGTAACGTCTGATTATATCTGTCTGTGCCATTGTTTCAGTACCATGTCTAATAACACTGGCCATTTCAGCAAGTACACTAATTACAGTTCAGTAGTCCACAGTTGTGTTTTCATGTTATTAGTCTGTGAGTCCACTGAAAAATGTCGGCTGTAAAGTGGTGGTTTGTTGATGACTCAGCATCTGAGTCGCATCTACTGTATACATGTAATCAGATACAGAAACATATATTGTGCCTTTTGTCTTGTTCAGGGAATACTAGAGCCTTAAATATGTTCTCACTCTATTTAAGATATCATGTAACAGTTGTCTTTTCAAATCAATTTAGTAGAGTGTGATTTAACCAATGCCATACCATCTTTGAATTGTTTTTTGTGTCACTTTTTTCCCCTTTTCTCTCCGAATGTCAATAGTAATGGACAAAATGTTTCTTCACTTCTAGTCTGATTACGCAAATAAATTCTGTTTTGCTATCAAAAATATTGTGCTTTATTTGCGATATGCTTTGTGCTCAACTTTACACTCAAGTTAATGGAAACAAACATTATTCAAACTGATCAAATACGAAAGACCTTTCTTTCATAAAGACTTTTTTTTTTACTACAAGTTTTCTAGAATGTTTTTTTAAATATGCAAATAAGGCATTATCTCGTCAAATATGTGCTCATTTGACTAAGAATAATAGTTATGTAAAATAATCCCAAATGTGTGTTTTGGATATTTTGTTCCACTACAATTTAAAGATCGTGTATTATGGACGACCGAAAAATTAACACAGAATGAAAAAAAAAAATGTTGCCTTTAGTTTCTCGCTATAAATGTAGAAACCTTGATAGAAACCTGTAAAATCAGAAAGTAAACCAGCTATTTTTGTTGAAAAACGACTGACTCCATAAAATATTTTTATATTTATAACGGCAATACATATACTGTACCAGGTGGCAATAACGCATCATTGTTGCTTGCCAACCGCAATAAAACATAGAGAAGAAGAATAAATGGAGCAAACTCCTGCTGTGATTGGACACAAAAATCACGTGCTTAATACGTCATACCCAGAAGAATGACATGTTTGTTTATCGTTGCTAACATTCAGGTAAGAGGAGCTCATTTGTAAAGTAAGGATGATAAAAATGTTAACTTATTCTCTGCTAAAGCACGTTATGTCTACTTCTATAAATCAAAGAAAGATCAAGGTCATGCTAGCGTCAAACTTTAGCCGCAACCGTGACTCTATCACTGTATTTCAAATAGTCTCTTTATTTAAACATCAACAACAGCAATGTTAATCTTGCCGGTACATCTGTAATAGTTTGAGCTTCTATTTAATATATTACATATTTTAGTAAGTGTTTTAGTTTAACTTCGGCTCTTTGTGCTTGCTCAAACATTAAACTTCCTAGTTAACCATTGTAGTTTTTGTTTCATGAATGTCGGTCTGTTCTTTAAATGTCTTTTATTAATGTTCATGTTAAATTATGTGTCACACATTTTGTCAAATCCCTTTTTTGTCTGTTATTGAACTTTGTGCTTGCCATTCAGTAGGTTCTGGTTATTTTTACACAATTAAAGACTTCAGTGTGAATGAAAAGTAATGTAAATCTCGTAAAATATGAAATAAATAAATAATTACATAAAAAACTTTCAATATAGCAAATCAGCGGCTACAGGAAATATAAATGTAATGAAACACTTTCACTCTCGTTTCTTACAAGTGTATTAATATCTCTGAGAAATAGATTATAAATGACTAAGTATTCAAATGTGTTAAAGACTTCTGAATGTGAAATAAACAAAGTATAAGACTTGTTGTGTTTTTTAAAGGTTTATTAGTACATAATACATTTAACAATCCATTAGTTAACAGGTATTGATATAGCAACATTTCACTTTCACAAGTTCTGCCAAACTCTCAACCCTAAATGTTAAATATCAGCCTTGGTTTTCATGCTTTTGACAATTGAATATGCCAGAAAAAGAAGTTGTTGTGAACCTTCAGTATCCGTCCGTCTGCAGGTATCTTAATGCAAAGAGGACAAACGTTGGTGGGTCCAAGATGGCATCGTACTTTGATGAACACAACTGTGAGCCCACCAACCCCGAGGAGCAGTATCGCCAAAATGCACTGCTTGAATTGGCCAGGTGAGGTGTGTGTGTGTGTGTGTGTGTGTGTGTGTGTGTGTGTGTGTGTGTGTGTGTGTGTGTGTGTGTGTGTGTGTGTGTGTGTGTGTGTGTGTGTGTGTGTGTGTGGTACAGTGTTTAGATTGAGTGTTGGTCTGTGTGCAGGTCTTTGATGCAGGGCTTGGACTTATTTGACTCCGGAGCGTTCGACTTGTCGGACTGGGACCAGCGTCTTCCTCCTCCGGCGGCCAAAACTGCTGTTCAGACGCTCACTGTGGTCATCATCTCTCTAGAGCAAGCAGGTGACACACTTTTGCTCCTGTAGAAGGAAATGGATGGTTAACGTTTTGAAAGTACGCTTGTATGAGGTACCTATCCATATTTAGTGTATTACCTAGAGCAGGTGGCTTTCACTTAAAGGTGTCCTATCTTGCAAAATGCACTTCTTGATGTCTTTGACGTCATATCGGCAATGTGGACCCACGGCACTATCAGAAACTTTGCTATCAGAAGCAATGCACAATGTATTTTGGACGTAATATGGTCTTTGTTTACATTAGCAAGCCTCGCTAACACTGAGAGCTAACCTGCACTGGAGAGAGCATGTGTCAAAATGCAGGAAATAAAAAAAGGAACTCACCTTGTAGTAAACCTGCAAGAAAAGAAGCATACTGTTTCAGAAATAATCCTTGAAGTGGTCCAAACCACTTCAAGGATTATTTCTGAAACAGTATGCTTCTTTTCTTGCAGGTTTACTACAAGGTGAGTTCCTTTTTTTATTTCCTGCATTTTGACACATGCTCNCCGGCTTTTAAGCCCGGCCCTTTTACCATTTTTCCGGGAAAGCCGAAAGCCGGCTTTCCCGGAAATTTTTTTTTTAATAGTCCGCTTCAGTCTCTTGGTCCCAATGCAACCCATTGATTTGCACAACAACACTACGCTTAGTTTTAGCACCGCCTGTCGAAGGCGTTACGCGCTGGTACGAGCGCGCCGACCGAGTGTCGGTTTTGTACAGACTCGGCGAACCTCTATAAATTTTTATAGTCTCTTTCTTCGGCGCTAACGTCTAAACATTTTGCACAAGTCGACGTAAAGAGCTCCCCCCATTGACGTTTCTGAAAGTGGTGAAGCCATAATGAGGTGGTTGAACTTTAGTTTTGTGGGCCTGTTTATACGCCTCATTCTAGTTTAGTGTTCCGGTGACTGTCGGCTCTCTGACAAGTCGCGAACGGAGAGTACACGAACTACTCTTCTCCTGTAAATACACGCCCATTTCGTCTCTTCGATTAAGTACATTTTTGACGACACGGGTGAGAAAGGAATATTCATTGTTCCGACGAAATAATCAAGATGTACAGATGAGATTGGTGAAAGGACTTTAAAAGTAACACTCAATATTAAGTGGTAGAGTCAATAGTAATCCCCTTTTACTGTCGCGTGTCACAAAGTTTATCATCACCATGAAAGCCAATAGATTTACTTGGTCTCACAACAAAGTAAAGAGTACTCTGTCTGGTGAGTGCATCCCAAATATTAAATAGATAAAGGTGTGCTCTCTCCAGCTATCTCTTTCTGTCCCGCTCGCTCACAGAGGCTGTGTGCTCCTCCGTGGCGATGACGGCTTGCGTTAAAAAATAAACATAGGCCTATTTGTAAAGTGGGGGACACAAACGGGGATTTCGAAAAGTGTCACGGTTAAACTTCTTATGAAGTGGTGAGGTGCCGCTCCACATCGCCTTTTCTTCCCGTGTGTACGATTTTTATTTATTTATTTAAAAAAAATTTTTTTATAAATATGTCTGTAAATGATTTTGGATTCAGTTGTGTGTGTGTGAGAGCAGGCTCGGATTGGCCATCGGGAGATTCTGAACTTTCCCGGTGGGCCGCTGCCGTTGGTGGGCTGCTGCCTTCGGTGGGCTGCTGCCTTCGGTGGGCCGCTGGCTCTGGCATAGGTGGGCCGTGAACTTTCATAGCGCCGCTGCGCTATGCTATGCTCCGGCGCTGTGAAAGTCCACCGCCGTTGCGAGTCTCCGGGTGTAACAGTCCACTACCGCCCGCGAGGACCCAGTTTCGATTCCGGCCTGAGGTCCGAAAAATGTATTTTAAAAAATAAAAAATGAATCTCCCGTTCATCGCGTCCATTCGATATCACATCTCTGCGCCCCACCATTGGGACACGCCCCACACTTTGATAAACGCTGGATTAACCTATGGATTAACCTTCAGCAGAGTTTTTATCGTTTTAATGCCATTGAACGCAACTTTTGATCAAAACAACAGCATAGGTAAGAATTTCTCCCGTGTTTGCTCCGTAATGCCAAGTGGTGTGATGTCTGATTTTGCTTCCCATGTCACGAGTTCTGATCGCTCAGTGATGATACTTATATGTCTGGAATCTGTGTAATCCCAGTGTGCTAATCGATATCTTGTTTTTGCAGATACGATATAATAAGGGTATTTTACCTTGAGTTCTGTGCTAATTGAGCTCAGGGCAAATTCAGAGCCTTTGTTATTACCCTTTTGTTTCGTTTAGCTAAACATGGTTAATATTGTCTGAAAGCTGAGTTTCTTCCCGTTATGTGAGTATGACACATTCATAGTTTATTAAATGTTAAGAAGCCCTCAGACGCTGTTTCTTGCAAGATGTTGCGTTTTGCCACCGCCGGGCCGTGGGGTTTAATTGGTTAATGCATTTTGTTACTTCAATTATTCATTTTGGTGTAGTTTCTTTCACTTCCTGTCCTGGTTAACCATTTTCTATCTAGTGTTCTATTTAGGGGACTTATCAGCATCACTGTTTGCTTTTCAGTAAAAATTAAGAAGAAAATCCTGCTTTTGACATTTTGTCTCTAGGAATAGTCCTGCTTGTAGCTTGACTGCATTCTGTACTAAATAAAAAGATGGTGTTTGACAGTTTCCATACTGATACTTCTCAGAAATACCTTGTTGGTTCCCAGTAAGAAGGGGATGTTTTTGGGGAACTAAGGTTCCCTATCAAACAGTTGAACTAGGTTCCTGCATTGGTCATGGGGATAACATTCCTTGGAGTTCTGACACTTACCCATGCAAGTGGTATGTTACTGTAGCATCCCAGCTCCTACAGTCCTTCGGTTGCTGTGCTGTAATTACACCGATGGTTCTGGGGCCTCCCTGCTCTCCATCTCCCTTGTCTACAACCCAAAACCTGTTGAAAGAAACTCCCATAGGGCAGATGGAATCTAAATAGTTTTGACCTACTTTTGCTCTGTGGCAGGAGGATGGATGGTGCTTAGAACCTGAAGCTCCATGAGCACCAACCATGACAACTCAATCGCCAAAAGAGCTGAGACTGAGTTTATTAGTCAAATGACAGAAGATTGATCTCCAACTATTTTTGATAATGGAGTCATGAAAATGTCCGACAATGATTTAAAATATGAAGATTTCGTGCCTCTCCTTCATTTTATAAAATATTAAAACCAACATCTTTTGGGATTTGGAGTGACAAGATATATTTAAAGGCATCCCCCGGACTTTTAGAAACAAAAAAATGTTTTCACTATTTTCGGACATTTTATAGAACCGGCGGTGATTGATCAATCTGCAAATCAATCGACGATGAGTTTTAGTTGCAATCCTATTCCACCCTCCTTCTTTGCACCCCCTTACTACCTGGCCGTCTTCTGCTCCCCCCACCTTGACAGCCCTCTATCCTGTGCCCCAAAACACTAAAGCAACCATTTTGTGGAATTTGGTTAAATTGGACTCTGGAAGTGGCCCCAATAGCTCACTACCAGCTACCCCACTGGCATTGGACCTTGATATATTTGTATTCTGTATGCTTTATCTCACTCTTTGCGCTCTCTACATTTACAAATGTATCTTCCTGACCTTTTACTTGCCCTTCCTTTTACAACAGACAAATCAATAAACCCTCCCGCCCGCGCGTCCCCCTCTTCACCATCTGCTCCTCTTAAATGAACACTTTTAACCATTTATATATCCATTACTCACCCTATGTTATCTTGAACTAAAGGAATAATATATTTTTCCAACATTCCTCTAACATGAAAGAATATTCAAAAAAGTGATGGGATGAAACCCTCTTTAATGGTCACACATGCAGAGCACACAGCACACACAGTGAAATGTGTGCTCTGCTTTTAACCCATCTAGTGCAGCTATTGTACAGTGCAGAGGGAGCAATTGGGAGGGGGTAGGGGGGTAGTCTGGTGCCTTGCTCAAGGGCACCACGGCAAGGCCCAGGAGGTGAACTGGGACCTCTTCAAGTACCAGTCCACACTCCATATTTAGGTTTGTTCGGTGACTTGAACCGGCGACCCTATGGCTCCCAGTCCATGCCCCTAATGACTGAGCCACTGAAATTCTGCATAAATGCAGGTAAATTGGGGGCCATGTTTCACAACAAATGTGCTGTATAACCAAAGTCTTATGTATGCTCAGCACTACCCAGACAATACGTTTAAACGGTCGCACACTATCGGAGACGTGCAACTCATCCGTGACATTCCAACATATTTTTAAATAGTTTACTTTGGCAAAAAACAAGGATCTTTCTGAGTTTGTGAGCAATCGACTGGATAACTGAGGCCTGGATTATACTGCACAGGTTGTGTGAGAGTTTGTAAATAGACCCCACAATGAATTCAAAGCATTAAGACTTTTTTTTCTCAGATTTCTGAAGCATGCGAGAAAACAAAGTTCTCTTCAAAAATTCAAGGTAATACTGGGTGAGTTATTGATCAACAAATGGCCATTCTTTGGGTGAAGTATCGCTTTAAGTCTACCGTGAGCTTTCTTGTGCTGTAGGAGTTGGCAGGGGTATTAAAAGATCCAACACCGTGAAACGTAACCTTTGACGCGGCCACTGCCCTGCAGTCGAGGCACATTGAAAGAAAAACCATGTGTCGTGCTCCAGCTAGATGTGTGACATCAACCAGCAAGAATGCACCCAAAAGGTTATTTTAGTCTGTTGCCAGTTCATACATTTGCTTTGGGGCAGTTTTGGGCAAAGCCTGAGCTTGTGCAAGCATTATTTTTGCCTCACGCTAGCTTATACGCTTCAAAAGAGAGGTTTAGCAAAGAAAATGTTTTTTTATTTTTTATTATCTTTGTCTTCCTGTACTCTTCATTTACTCTGGGTTTATGGGGAGACGGCACTTTCACCACTCCTTAACACTTCGACAAAGAGGGGCTTTCATAAAAGGATATTGACATGTTAGATTTACAAAAGAGCCATTGAGAGCTGAGTGTTTGCTACTTGAAAACAAGGAGTGATGACTCCATTTCTCCTTACATCATT